ATCTGCCCTTGTGTGTGTGTGAGAGAGAGGGATGGTTAGGGGGGGTAGATGGAGTGGTTTAAAGATCCGTTATACCCCTCTGTTCCAACTGTCTTTCCTAGAAATGCTACTCTCTCAACTTATTGCCCTTTCTGGATATAAGTATCAATTATTGCTGGTTATTATCCTATTCCTTGTTCACGTTGAGAGAGGACTTCCTAGCTTCCTAAGTATTCTTACTACTAATAACTACTGTAATAGCTTGCAGGAGTGAGTGACCAGTATCTAACAGCGATGCAAGGCCAGAACAAGCCTGCAACATGCAAACCACAAAATAGGTGAGTGATACTTGCGCTGGCAACGGTCGTGACAGTTGCCAGATGCTGATGACGAAGTCGTCGTACGTAGTCCTTAAATCCCTATTTTGGAGATCCTTCACCCGTGTTGATTATAGCCACATGTGCTCATACATCCCTCGTTCCTCACGCGATTTCACTTTTCACTTATGATAGTATACACTTCACATTATATGCACTTCACTTTATATGTATAATGGCACACAACTTGTTGTGACGTCACTGCTTAAGCAGGCCTACTGCTGCCACCTTCCCTTGTTATATATTTTATTTTTCCTTTCCCCTTTTGCTTATTAACTTTTTCACTCTCACTGTATGGTGCCCCACATTTCACTTGTTAGCCAAACGCTGATAATTCTTGAACAGCCGCTTCCACACTCACTTTAACCTTTGTATGTTTGAATCTGTGTGGCAACAGCGCCTATAGACCCACAACGGCTTGGCGCTTTGAAATATTGATAATTTCAGCTTCCTCTCGACTATTTTTAACTAATAACTTTAGTTGTCACTCGTATTATTGTTCACTGACGATGTCACTACCACTGATTACAGCTAGCATTTACTGTACACCTTAAAAAAAACACTAGGGTTCTCGGAGCCTTGTGCACCCACGTCTGTACCCCACGGACCCACGCGCGCGCGCGCGCGTGTGTGTGTGTGTGTGTGTGTGTGTGTGTGTGTGTGTGTGTGTGCGTGTGTGTGTGTGTGCATGTGTGTGTGTGTGTGTGTGTGTGTGTGTGTGTGTGTGTGTATGTGTATATGTGTTAGTTACCATTTTGTCCTAGGCACATGTCGATTAGACACTAGGCATGTAGTATATGCGTGTGTGTGTGTGTGTGTGTGTGTGTGTGTGTGTGTGTGTGTGTGTGTGTGTGTGTGTGTGTGTGTGTGTGTGTGTGTGTGTGTGTGTGTGGGTGTGTGTGTTGTAGTTACCATTTTGTCCTAGGCACATGTCGATTAGACAATAGGCATGTAGTATATGTGTGTGTGTGTGTGTGTGTGTGTGTGTGTGTGTGTGTGTGTGTGTGTTGTGTGTGTGTGTGTGTGTGTGTGTGTGTGTGTGTGTGTGTGTGTGGGTGTGTGTGTTGTAGTTACCATTTTGTCCTAGGCACATGTCCATAAGACACTAGGCCTGTAGTATATATGTGTGTGCGTGTGTGTGTGTACTCACCTAATTCACCCAATTGTAGTTGCAGGGGTCGAGACTCAGCTTCTGGCCCCTCCTCTTCAGCGAGTGCTACTAGGTCCTCTCTCTCCCTGCTCCATGAGCTTTATCATACCTCATCTTAAAGCTATGTATGGTTCCTGCCTCAACTACCTCACTTGCTAGGCTATTCCACTTCCTGACTACTCTATGACTGAAGAAATACTTCCTAACATCCTTTTGACTCATTTGGGTCTTCAAATTCCAATTGTGACCCCTTGTTTCTGTGTCCTCTCTTTGGAACTTCCTGTCTCTGTCCACCTTGTCTATTCCATGCAGTATTTTGTATGTCGTTATCATGTCTCCCCTAACCCCTGCTGTCCTCCAGTGTCGTCAGGCCGATTTTCCTTAGCCTTTCTTCATAGGACATTCCCATTAGCTCTGGAACCAACTTTGTTGCAAACCTTTGCACTTTCCCTAATTTCTTGACATGTTTGACCATGTGTGGGTTCCAAACTGGTGCTGCGTACTCCAGTATGGGCCTGACGTACACAGTGTATAAAGTCTTGAACGATTTCTTACGAGGTACCGGTGTAGACAGCCTGTACTGTCTGCACAGACAGCCTATGCTGTCTGCCAGCTTAGTTCATATTTCACGGCACTCAGGTGCTGTCCTCTAGGCCTGCTCAAGTCAGTGGGACGCTGGTCCCACTCGCCCAGTCATCTTCACTTCATCACCCCATGCAAGAAGCATCCGTCTCTCATCGAGTTATCCTGATGTCGTATCTGCACGTTTCAGCATCTAGACACAGGTACAAGCAGGATCTAGCCTAAATTTGCCGAATTTCTTCGAGAATTGTAAGTGCCGTCCCAGTGACCCCACGCTACAGCGTCTCACACTGTTTCTCAAGTCACGTGTTCAGCATCACTTGTATGTTGCTGTTGTTGTTCAGCTCAGCACAGCTGTTTCAGCAAGCCAGAGGTGAGTTTTGTGGTGATTTCTGCGTCCAGTGTGAGTTTCTCCATGTGTTTGTGGAGAGAAGAGGAGGAAGTGGCCGTTCCTTGCCTCGCCCACACTCGCCCTGCTGTACACTCACACCTCACCAGCCTACCATACACTCACCACTGCCCACTCCCTCTGCTGTGTTTTCTGCTGTTTTGTGTGTAAATTCATTGCCAGTGCTGTGTATCTGAGTGCCCCTGGCCACTCTAAGCCACATGGATCACGAAGCCACGTGGGTCAACAAGCCATGTAGATCAGCAAGCCATGTGGATCAGCAAGCCACGTGGATCAGCAAGCCATGTAGATCATGACACCACGTGGATCCCGACGCCACGTGGGGTGTGGACGACGCCACGTGGACCTACAAGCTACGTGGTTTGCCAGATGTCCCAGGCCTCATGCTGTGGTCTGCTGCCCGCATCACATTGACGTCACCGATACTGCTGCCCGACTGCATGACGTCACGATGTCTGCCTGACATCACCTCGAGATGTCTGCTGACATCACAATGCTGCTGACATCACCTTGCGACTTCACACCTGACATCACATGATGTTGCATGGAGTGTTTCAGTAATTATGTCAGCATTGTCGAGAAGATTGAGAGAATATATTTGTCGTGTGTTAATTAATTCCTCTCAGTCTGTGTTCTCACATGTTAGTGTATAGCTTAGTGTCGATTTTGTGAACAGAAACGCATCTTTTGCTAGTTTAAGCCATGTTGTACCGCTTGTACCGCAGGTGTGTAAAGTTTTCCATGTGTCCTGTGTGGTCTGCGTCCAGACCACTTTGTTAGTGCCACCTGGTGTGACCAGCACATTTGACAGCAGATATTAGTCATCCTGAGTGTATAGCCCCCTTTTTACAGAAAGCTCTTATGTCGTCGCTTGGATTTGCAAATCTATCTGCTACGATTCCCATCGAGTTTTTTCACTTCCCCCCAACCCTTTAAGTGCTTATATGTAGAGAAAAAAATTTGGGGACGCTTAACTAACCCTTTTTAATCCAACTGCCGAAGAATACACTCGATAAGCCTTTAGCCCTGTCGGGAGGCGCTGTGTCAGCCTCGGTCCAAGCTTCATGGGCCCCGACAAAAATGATGTCACTTTGACTGCTAGCTCGCTCACTGCGTATGGGAAAGAGTTACGACTCCCAGATTTTTCGCCCCGTTTGTCTCTGCCCTGACTCGCCCACAACTCACTCCAGTCGCCGGAGTGACAGCCCCGTGACAGTACCCTCGAGAAGTGTTTTTTCCCCGATCGCTTGCCCCGAAGTCCCCGCCCCGTTTTTCCCAGTTTTGTCGACGTTCACTCGAGGGCACCAGCATGTCGTGCCCCAGGTTGAGTGAAACCTGCAGTGACTCCTACGATGACTGCTTCACCGTTCCAGAGGAGACTATACCCTGTTACGTCACAGCTCAGCCGCAGCAATGTCTCCTGTGTTGCAGTATCTGTACAGACACAGGAAGGCGTGCAGTGATGCCCATCGACGCTCACTGCCTATGACCACGATGTTCAGCACACCCACACGTTTTTTTCTTCCCTCCCTGTAGGAATTTTTTTTTCCATGTCCATATGTATATACATGTTTTTTATTTTGTGTTCTGTGCCCTGTTCCTACGAGAGAGAGACCGAGTTTCTTTTACCACCAGTACTGTCGCGTCGGGACGACGCAAGGTAGGTGGCCGAGCGTATGTAGACAGCCTGTACTGTCTGCACAGACAGCCTATGCTGTGTGCCAGCTTAGTTCATATTTCATGGCACTCAGGTGCTGCCCTCTAGGCCTGCCCAAGTCAGTGGGACGCTGGTCCCACTCGCCCACTCACTCAGCGGCCTAGCAGCAGTCAACAAGTCCTACTAGCTCTCTCCCTCGTGGGCATGGCTCTCCTGGGCCATGGGCACACAACACACAAGCCTGTGTACCCACCGACTTTGCAAATAAAGTAAGAAGCCTCTGAAGACGTATCACTTACTCCCCGCTACCAGCATCACCAAATAATCTCGTTATACCGGAACGCTATTCTCAGGTTTGCCAGGCGCCCATATGCCACAGCAGTTAACTGGTTAATGTGTGCTTCTGGAGATGTACTCGGCATTATACTCACTCCTTGATCTTTCTCCTTGAGTGAGGTTTGCAGTCTTTGGCCTTCTAGCCTATACTCTGTCTTCGGTCTTCTTTGCCCTTCTCCGATCTTCATGACTTTGCTTTTGGCAGGGTTAAACTCTAGAAGCTAGTTGCTGGACCACGCATCCAGCCTGTCCAGGTCTCTTTGTAGACCTATCTGGTTCCGCATCTGATTTAATTCTCCTAATGAACTTCACATCATCTGCAAACAGGGTCACTTATGTATCTATCCCTTCCGTCATGTCGTTCACATATACCAAGAATAGCACTGGTTCCAGGACTGACCCCTGTGGGACCCCGCTGTGATGCCTCATCACGTACCATGACTCGCTGTTGCCTCCCTGTTAGGTATTTTCTGATCCATTGCTGTGACCTTCCTGTTATGTGTGCCTGATCCTCTAGCTTCTGTACTAATCTCTTGTGAGAAACTGTGTCGAAGGTGTGTGTGTGTGTGTGTTTTTGTTGCACATTATCAACTGAATATACAAACCTGCAGTGTTGATAATGTAAGTCTTTAGTGCGTCGATGTGTTTGGGAGAGGCTAAGTCACCACTCATGCCTTGGCAGTGTTCTCGAGCTTCATACCAGTGAAGTGAGTGAAGACTCAAGTAGAAGCACTCGTCCAGTACTCTAGTGTAAGGGTAGGGGCAGCAATTCTCTGTAAAAAATTAGAAGCTAGAGAAGAATCAAAAGAAATTCTTCTTTTATATCTTTGATAACACATAAATAAAAACTTTCTTCAGTGCCTCGAGAATAGTAAAAGATATGTCATTCTTTGTGACATTCATCATGATTCTAGACTCGCTTCAGATTTGCACATTCAATACTATACACGTAGCATTCCCGCTACATGTATTAGTATTAGATTCTTACACACTACATAAAGTAAAAGAAAAATAACAACCAAAAATGTGAATGAAAGAATTTTTTTGTTTTATTTTATCAGTACAGGCAATGGAAGATTATTAACACTTTATAATCTGTCAGAAATTACACCACATGAACTTACATTCTTTAAATAACTCTTTTTCAATATTGATCCATAATGACCTGCGTACGGTATTATACTCTTAATCTTCGCTTGTTTCCTCTTACGTTTTAAGCAATGTTGTTGGTACATATGGAGTAGAGGTCAAGTGCGATAATAGAGAGGCGCCATAGTGAACAGGTGCAGAAGACAGGTGCAGTAGAAGAAAGATACAGTAGTACACAGGTGCAGTAGTGGACAGGTACAGTAGCAGACACATGCAAAACAGGACAGGTGTACAATCAGATACGAGCAATAACATACA